ACCCCTTGTAATAACGACCAATCGAATTTCAGGATCAGGTGTAATGTGAAAATCGAGACGAAGCAAAAAAACAAGAAATAGCTCTAAATTTTAATTACAGAATTAGGAAACCGCCTTCTGTGGTCTAATGAAAAATGTTCTTTGTAAAATTTTACTTGTAGACGTCATATTATCCTAGTCCTAACCCTAACTATAACGCGGTTTTCTTAACTTTAATTTTGCACATAACTTTTTACTTACACGTTTGTTTTGACTAATGATTTGAACCGGGTAAAAATTCCTAATCGGTTAACCGAGTTAACTTACCTGAATACAATCGGCTCAACCGTATTATTTCGGTTAGATCTGTTGACCCGGGCCAACCGAATTAGCTAGGTCAACCGAATTAGCTAGGCCAACCGAATTGGCCGAGTCAACCGAATTGGCCAGCTAGTCAGGTTAATTAAAAATAGACTTAACGTTAAACATATCACTAATTGATGTCGGGTCAACCGATTATGTCAGGTTAATCGGGTCAACCGATTATATCGAGTTAACCGATTATGCTGGGTCAACCGATTATGCTGGGTCAACCGATTAACCAGATTAACCAGTTAAGCATTTACTTAATTCGGTTCACCCGAATTTTTTCGGTTCAAATCATTAGTTTTGATTATCATGTTACACCTGATCCTGAAATTCGATTGGTCGTTATTACAAGGGGTGGAAAAAATTTTGTGGGACAGCTACGTACGTACCTAAAATTGCATAGGGCAATTTTGGACATGTTTTGGACAGCTTTTCAAATGGCCAAAACCCTGTCCAAAACTTTTCAAACTGTCCAAAAGCCATCACTGGCATAGACTATATTTTTGATACGTTCCATATAAACCACTAACCATAACAAGGAAAAAAATTCAGAATCAAAATATGTGCGCACATTATTTAAAATATATTGCTAATAAGTTATGTGCGCTTTGCGTACCATTTTATATTCTTTTTGTGCGCAAAAAATTTTTATGTGCGGGCTATATCAAAAAAGTAATTCTAAATTGAATATCAATCTATATAAATTAATCAAAAATTAAAAAAAAAAAATAGATTTCAGTTTTTTAAACATGCAAAAATATTTTCGACAAACAGAAATAATATTTTTGGCATACTAAAATATTTTCGACGTACCTAAATTATTTACGATTTTGACTGTCAACAATCATTTTCGCCATTTAAATTTACTCCAAGAGCAAAGTATTTTCTGCACCCCATGTATACGGAAAGTTCAGAGAATGCACGAAATCAAATAATAGAGGATCCAACAGGCGCATGGGAAGACTCGGATGATGAGAAAGTTTGTGTATCATTACAAAGTAAAAATATATTAAAAAAATTAAGAAAGGATGAAGATGAGGATGTTATATCCGGTGATCAATATGAGAAGAGACTAAGACAACAATTTGAGAAACTATACCCAACGCCTAATTGGGCCACTGTTCCTTCGAAACGAAAAAGACAAACTCAAGACAATTCTGACTCATCAGATGATGAACCACCGGAAGTGTTAGACATTCGCAATGAGTCTGATACAAATAATCAATTGGATACAGCAAAAAAGTTAATATCAAAAAAAAAGCTTGAAGTTACAAAAATGAAACATGCGAATCAACAGACTTATTCACAAAGTGTAATTCAAAGTATCGCTTTTCATCCAAATGCACAAGTTGCCATGACCGCTGGGTTAGATAAAACAATACGCTTATTTCAAATCGATGGTAAAATCAATCCGAAAATCCAATCAGTCGTACTGAAAGATCTACCCATTTATCGAGCAGCATTCAACCCAAATGGGACTGAGATTATTGTCACTGGACGGAAAAAATACTTTTATATATTTAATATTGAAGCTGGGAACATCAACAAATCTAACGGGATTTATGGGTTCCGAGATAAATCTCTGGAAAATTTTTCAATTTCTCCTTGCGGAAAATATATTGTTTTTGCAGGCAGCAGTGGATATTTGGTTTTGGTCAGCAATCGAACCAAGCAATGGGTCGCAAACATGAAAATGAATGGTACTGTTACATCTGTTGATTGGTCTAGTGATAGTCGATATTTGTATTCAGTTGGAAGTGATGCAGAAGTATATCAATGGGATGTTAGTACGCGAAGATGCGTCCATCGGTTTAGGGATGATGGAGGGTTTAAGCCTACGAAGATATCAGTATCGAAGAATGGTCAATACTTTGCTATCGGGTTAGTGAAGTTTGCCATTTCGCTATTTGCAATTTGCACCCAGAAAGTTTCTAATTCCATCTTTAAATAGATCTAATTCTGGTATCGTTAACGTTTATGACGAAACTTGCTTAGTTTTACCAAATCCTAAGCCTTTAAAGTCAATTATGAATTTGACGACAAGCGTTCACGACATGAAATTCAATCATGACGCTCAAATACTTGGAATCTCCAGTCATTCTAAAAAAAATCAATTAAAAATGGTAAATTTGCACTCGTAAAAAAATATTTCTTAATGCCTTTGTTATAAACTATTTTATTCGTACTTTTCTTAAAAAATGCTTATGATTTTTGTGGCAGGTGCATTTACCATCTCTTAATGTGTTTCCAAATTGGCCAAACAATTTAACGCCTCTTAATTACGTTCAGTGTTTTGATTTCTCGCCGGCAAGTGGTTACATTGCTATAGGTAACGATAAGGGTAAAGCACTTTTGTACAGACTTAGGCATTACCCTGTGGCTTGATAATTGATTTCGATAATATTTGTTTCCAATAACTTAAAATACACGCTCATCAATTCATAATAATAATCGTCACACAATAGTGTTAGTATTATTTATTTTATCAGCTACTTGATGTTTAATTTCCTTTTGTTAAAAAGTTTTAAACTAATGTTTAACCAAATAAGTGTTCTCTGTAATATTTATGTGATTCAATTTTCGTGCCAAAGTAGATTTGTAATTTTGCAAGTAGTGAAAAGAGTTATTATGTCTAATGCTGACGCTGAAATTCTACCAGAACTATATAAATTATTTGGCATATTGGCCCAAATTATGCTTTTTTGTCATCACGACGAGAAAAAGGTTACTGTACGATTTTCCGAAAGTAATTTTCCCGACATAAAACCAACTTTGCCAAAATGATGTCCTTTCGGGAAATGGTTTCAGAAACTTAACATCTAGAAAAAAATAAATAAAATAAATTTAAATTCACATGTTTATTTTTTTACGAAGCTTAAATCTTAAAAAAAAAATGAAGATAAAAATAAGTACGTACGTACGCACGTAGAAAAAAAAAACTATATATAGAATTTATATTAATTTAGCTTTAATCCTAACTATATACAGTCAAATCTCCCTAAATGGACTATGCTTTTGACAGCTTGCATTTAGAGAACAATAAGAAAAATTGCATTTATGGCATTTAGAGAACAATAAGAAAAACTGCATTTATAGAAGTCTAGTATATATTTGGACCAGAATTAAAAGTTGCATTTAGAAGGTTTGCATTAGGAGGTCTGAATATATTTAATCTTATTGCTAACAGGATTCTAAAGATCCTACTTATACGTAACAATAAACAAAACTAATAAAAATAATTTTTCAAAGTGTCACTTTAGCAAGGATTCATGTTTTAGATTCACCGTATTATTAATATGGTTAGGATCCAAAATTTTAGTAACCTCGAGCCAAACATTCTTTTCCATTTACATATTCATTATTTTTCAGACTTTCATTATTAACAGAACGAAACCTTACTGAGTAAAATTTCATCTTCTAGGAATCATGTGGTTCGATAAAGTGATCAACATTATGATCGGACACTCATGTGACATAATCCCGACTGTTGTCGTTATAAATGACGAGCTTGATGTTGATTTGTCAGTTCATTTGCTAGACATTTTTACTTTGGAAATCTTGTAAAAGCTTTGTTCTCACTTATACGCAAGCCTATTTGAACAGCCGCAGTAGAAGCAAGTTTAGCACGGATGGCTAAAACTGAAAACGCAGTGACAAAACTCAATTTTTCACAAGACGAGCTGATCTTGTGCTTTCACGGTCCTTTACTCTACGAGGCCAAGGTAACAAATCACAGAATCGATCGCGTGAGTTGTACGATTAAGTGCCATTCTTCAGTAATAAGTAGCAAAAGAATTGAAAAGTTAATTTATTTTACTAGATCCTAAAAGCAGAAAATTGGGGTCCCGATGATTCAGAATCTGGGGAAATCGGTCCACATTATTTTGTGCATTACAAGGGGTGGAAAAAAACGTATGTAAGCGATTCAAAATGATTATTGGATGCAACCAGTATCGAGCTTCCTATTATTAAATACCAATTTGATAGGTGGGATGAGTGGGTTCCAGAAGAGAGAGTTGTAAAATACAATGACGCTAACTTGGCTAGACAAAAGCAACTAAAGGACACATATACTAATAAGAAAAAGAAATCTGCAAACAAAGAACGACAGAGCACCCCTTCCCAGGAACCTTTAGTGAGTTCCCTACAAATAATTATCAGAAACAATTAATTCTATTTAAGAAACTAAAAGAATGTAACCCAATCAAAGCGATTAATGCAAGCTCGTACAAATAATTTTGCACACAATCGCCAAAAGATTGCTAATAGAGGCCAGCAGAAAAGTTCTTCTCCCGAGCAGCCAGAGAGCCCTAATTCAGATGCAAGCTCCATTAAGCAAGAGGATGAAGAAATGTTAGACATTAAAGAAGAACATTTAGAAACAGATAGTGATGTTCAAGAAAATCAAAGCCAGCCACGCACCAAAAAACGTAAATCGATAGACGAAGATGAAGATGAAGTATTCTGAACTTTCAATAATTTTACTTGTGAGGATTATTCCCGGAAATACTAATGCTTTTTTTCTATGGCCTTTTTAAGGAAGAAGAATTTATGAATCGTCTTGAAATTAAAATCTCTCTGCCTGAATCACTAAAATGCAGATTGATAGATGATTGGGAAAACATCACAAGAAATCATGCAGTGAGTATAATTAAAATGACCCTAAATAGATGTTTGTTCCAGATAAAATAATAATTTTAATTTATTTTTATAGTTATTAAAATTACCTCGGTCACCAACTGTCTCGGAAATTCTAAAGCAATATTTGGAGTACAAACGTTCATCCTCAATAAAAAGTGAAAAGTAAGAAGAAATTTTCTATTTATTTTATTTTATTCCTATGATAAGACATGGTTATAATATTTGCTGCCTAACTGGACAGGAGCGACATCTATACGGAGGTTGCTCATGGAATTCAAGTTTATTTCGAGAAGACTTTGGGGAACATTCTTTTATATGGCTACGAAAGACAACAATATGTTGATGTTCGTAAGCAATTTCTAGAGAAAGAGAACGCAGAAATTTATGGAGCTGAACATTTATTGAGGCTCTTTGGTAATAAAAATCCGTTGGTTATAATGATTATATGTATTCATTGGTTAATTGCTATCAATAAATATAGTCGAATTACCCCGTTTGCTTGTTCACACACATATGGACCAAACAACTACCGAGACTCTTGAAGAGCATTTGGCTGATTTCTTAAAGTAATCCGAAACTAAAATTTGCCCATATTGTTTATAATTACGTGATTCTAACGATTATTGTGACAAAAAGATTTTTACAGAAGAATGAAGATCAGTACTTTATCACTGAATATGAGCGTCATGGTATGACACTTGCTAATAAGCAAAAGACAAAAGAGATAAAGACAATTGAGAAAAAGACGTGCGGCTATAATACTTATAGTAATTCTGAGGGTAAATAAGTTAATAATTACTTGAATCAGTTTTGTTGGTTTCTATCGTTCTCCTTATGTAATTAAGGAGATTTTATTCAAGTTAATGGAAAGAAAACCGATGGAATAGTAACAGCTATAGAAATTTTTATTGTATATTATCAGATTTCATCCAATATAATACTGATCGTTACTTATTGGTATTTATTTAGGGTGGATCTGTGGTAATTGCAAAACCTCAAACACCCCAGGATGGCGGGCAGGAGAGACTCCGGACCAAAAACTTTGTAACGGTACGTCTTTTAGATATATTAAGAGTTTGTCCTGTATACTTTATCAGTCTTAAACTTATTTTTTCGCTCTGCTATGTTCTAGCTTGTGGCCTATATTATGCCAAGTATAAATCGCATCGACCTTCGAGTCTTTGGAATAACCATCGAGGCAGCAAAGCGCCATAAATAACTATTGCCAGTTTTATGACTGGAGTATGGAACTCTACTGGACTTTCAGATTTTCCGATATTCCAGTGGTTCCAAGGAAAATTCCACTGTAAGAATGACTTACCGGAATAAACATAATGTTAATGCACATATAGTAGTTAATATTAACCAATCAAAATAACTATAAATAAAGTCATATGTATACTGTCATACGTATGGGTTTATATATATACTGTATGTTACTTTAGTTGTAGGATCAAGTTCACAAGGTTGTAGTGAGAACACGGAATTTATGCGATATGAATTTGTAAATTATACTTTCGATATCCGATTTACTGCTGATTAATAATAAAGTGCCGATTTAATGTTTATTTGATTAAACAAATTTGCGTTTCTCATGATCTAAGAGTACCTGTGCGGGCATTTGTAATTAATAAGGTAGTAGCAATATCCGCAATCTATCATATATCATATATCATATAAGCTAGAAGATGGATACTATTAATGTGCTTGCACTAGGTAAATCTTATTCACAAATTGTGATTTCGTGCGAAGAGTTAACATCATAAAGATAAATATGGAGTTCAAGCAGATTATAAATCTAGTGAATCCTATTTTATTATTATTGGCTAAAATAAATTTATTTTATTTCTATTTTTAAACATTTATTGTGGCGGATCATAATGAAATCCAGATCAAAATGAAATTATAATATAAAATCTCGAAAAATAAAATTTTTGGGGTGCATTTTTTAGGGATAGGGGTTAGGGTTAGGGGTTAGTTTTAAAGTAAAGTTATAATAAACAAGTAT